CTACTAATTAATTTGTGGACTGTATAATTATATTATTTTAAAACTGAATGAAGGGGGGGGGGGGTAGGACACACATGGATACATCCGTCAAGGAAAACATTTGTACATAACCCCACTATTTAAACTAGATGTTCTCTGGTGGTCACTTATGTAGCTGGATCACTCGTAACCTATCTAATTATAACATACCACTACTGGCCAGTCTAAGTTTGCTATAACTAGAAGGGTTACTTAACGGGTGGTGAGTTGATATTCCTCATTTTTGATTCACCATCTCATTTTCGATGTCCTGCTACACCGACACGATTCCATTCCAGCGGGACGAGGTATCCCTGGTTTGTCCTGCTTTAGACGTCGTGACTTAAGGAGTTTCCCTTTCCTCGTCTCGTTAACAACGAGGTCTAGCGTGTTCACTCGGAGCAAACGACTTATTTCCTTCACATATTCTCTTAACTTAGCGTTTTTTATCATTTAAATTTCATTACAATTCACAAGACGATTTAACGTCTCATAACTATTATACAAACTAGAGGTCACTCCATTAAGATCTGAGACCGATGAGTGATGATTAATCCAAGGGTAATTTTCCCCAGGAAAACATCCATTGTGACGCGTCAGTCACCCGGTCCCTTACTCTTATCACACTTTTACCACTCTATTACTGTGGGCCGTAAATCCCGTTCCCTCACTCTCCACCAGGAACAAATTACGACACTTCTTATTATGAAAATGAGGCCTATATTAATCCTTAGGCCACCCTGAACGTCCAATTTCGTGGTTCCATGTTTTCTCAGCTTCCTCACCACCATTCAAAACAATACGCGCTCCCCTCCCCCGCACATCCGCGCATGCGCCAAGGGAAATCTTGGTTTTTACTCTATTTTCAAATACATTTTGACTCATATCGGCACAAAAAAAACTATTAGGCGCTATGTTTCGGAAAATTTTAAAAAATTTTTCCCCACTGCGGCCGGGCGGAAGCGTTGTTAGACGACTTAAATTGCGTCTTCCTCCCGGAGACGCTTCAGCCCTCTCTAGATTGCGCTGCTGTTTTTCCTATGGGTCTTACTACAGTTTCCCTTTTTGCATTACCCGGGTCAGTGTCTTCAATATCACTCGTGTCACTTCCCTTAGGTTTCCATCTGCACTGGATTGAACATCGTTTAATTCAAGGGAATTAATTTATTAATGGTACGCAAACTTTCCTGACCACGACACAACACTTTGACGTTCTGACAACGCCTTGTGTATCTGGGTATAATGTAACTACCTTGCCCAGAGGCCACAGTGTTCGATGTTGTTCAGTATCAATTAACACAATGTCACCTGGTTGAATGTTCTGTCGGTTTACTGCCTCTGGCGCACCATAAAAGTGTTCACGTAGCGTAAGAAGATATTCTTTACGCCACACAAACAGACCAATGAATAATTACCTTATTTAACATTTTTTAACTTGTCACTCACACCGTCACTTATTGTAATCCCCATCACTTCCCCCGGGATTATCTCTATAGTAGGCGCAGCTTCTAACCTTTGTCCACATATTAGGTGAAGGGAGTCAGTATCTCCGCGTCAGGAGTGTCGCTCATGTATGACAGAGGGCGATTGTTCACTCGATTCTCTGCCTCCACCAACACTGCCCGGAACTCCTCCAAATCAATTCTCTTCCTGTGTAGCACCTTATGAAGACATCTTTTCACTGTACCTATCATTCTTTCGTACAGTCCTCCCTGCCAGGGGGCTCTGGGAGTAATAAATTTCCAGACCCCCCCTCGCTGGGTCAACAAAGACTGTACATCATCACTCTTATTTAATTTCATCAAATGTTGAGCACCCGCTACAAAATTGTGGCATTTTCTGAGATCATCAATCTGGGCGGATGTCTAGCTGCAAATTTTCCCGGAACAGCTGTATGAACTGTTCTGCAGACAAGTCCTGAGCCACTTCTAGATGACAGCCCTAGTAGCTGTACAAGTAAATAGACATACATACACCTTCAAGGGGACACCATCTGAAGTACCTGTTCAAAATGATTGGCCCACTATAGTCCACTCCGGTCACATCAAATGGTTTTACCAACTGCACGCGTTCCTTGGGCAAATGGTGGAGGACCTGGGGACATGTAGGTTCTGGCATCCACCCGGCGACATATTACACACGACTTGATAACCCCCTTTACACTTTGCCGTCCTTTTGGAATCCAGAAGGTTTCCCGAATACAGTTTAAGGTATCCTGTACCCCACCCGTGCATCACGTTATTATGGGCATTAAAGACAATCAAGGTTGTCAGGTGATGAGTTTTTTGGGGAGCAAGATAGGGTGCTTAGTATATTCCCCCAATTCACATTTTGTAACCTGCCTCTGCACCTAATTACATCATCCTCTAAATACAGCCCCAGCTTTTCTATGATTGAGCCTTTCACAAATTTTCCGTCCATCATGAATTTAATCTCATCCTGTAGGTTTCTTTTGTACCCCTGTAGCCCTATTTTAAGGGGA